ATATATATATATATTGTTTAGATGTTTCTTAATAGTTTGCATGTAATGGGTCCTACTTGTAGTGGTTGGATTTGAAGAGAGAAGATAAATCTTCACAAGGAGAATTCATATTTTCACCCAGGGAAAATGAATGCTTACTCAACGTTCATCCAAACTTGAAGATTTTTTTGTCTAGAATTACATTCTTGCTCAATGACGTGATTGTCGCCCAACAAGGAAACCACTCTATGGTAGTCTCTCTCAAAGCTTACTCGATGAGGCATAACGTGTCCAACGAGAGGACCCCCAAGGGTTTATGGTCACCTAGCAAAAGGATCCACAAATTGATCTATTCACTCAACAAGCTTTTGGCCACCCAACAATGAGCTCTAGAGGTGTTGGATAGCTCAACGAGAAAAGTTACAAAGAGTTTTTCTCGTTGAGCGAGACTAGTTTACTTAGTGATGAGCTCCAAAGAGTTTTGATCACTCAATGAGGCTACCTGTTGCCCAACGACAACTATGTTTTGTGAAAACTATATATTAAGTATCCTTTACATATTTTGTTGATATAAGATGATAATAATTGAACCTAGTTTGTAGTTTAATTATATACTATGATGAATTATGTTGTTTAAGTTAAAAGTAGCTTGTTGTATGAAATTGATAAAGTAAGTTATATGTTGTAAGTTGTTATGAACATGTGATGCATGTCTTAATTGTTGATAGTTGCATAAAAACTAAATGAAAGAAAAAGTGTTTTTTGAAAATCAAATATCTTATTGCGTAGATATCAGTTGTGGTACTCTGATAAGTCCAAAATTTGAAAACCCTTCATATAATTAATTGTCCCCTAATTGAAAAGTTGTTATAAGTTATATTCTCTAGGTTTTCAATTGAAATACTATTGTGGAGGTCGAGCCATATTTGTCACAAGCGTCCAATGAATAAAGTACAAGGTTAGAAACCCAAATTTCTAATTGAGTACAAGACTAGATGAATTGGGTGCAACATTTTCTATTAATTTTTTTTAGTTTGATTATTTTAAAGAATAAACATATCATTTACCCATTTACCCTTTAAATTACAAAAATCTTCTCTACGCTTTAGATTTTTCATTTTTATACTTATTTCAATATTTATTTTAATTTCTTATATCTTTGAATATATTATTTTCATATTTATTTCAATATTTTTTAAAAAATTATGAATAATTAAAAATAATTTTATATAAATTGTAACGATCTGACGTGATCCCTACACTTTGTGGAATCGCACTAATAATCTAGTGAACTAAAATAAAATATTAAGCTAGATAACATAATATACATATATAAGAAGAGGTAAAAGAAAATAAATATTTGTACACAATATCGTACTATGCATATATAGTCATCCAACTAATACAATCCTAGTATTGGTCAAGCACCAACAGACAGTTACCCAAGATGGTAACTCTGACACTAGGAACAAAATTTCACTTCTAGCAGCGATCGCAGCAACCAGCTCTAGCCTATCCTTGATCTACTCCCATACACAGTATGATTATCCCAGTCCATCCACATGGAAACAAAAGGGTAAGCTAGAGTTCAATAAACAACCATACAAGTATAGGGTAATAACTATACTACTCATTCGTTCAATCATCATCAAAACACAACAACACAGTTTATCATAATAGCTCAACTATCAACTCATTCATACAACTTTACATGCAATTTGAATGCAACAACACATGCAACATCAACTAATGCGTCGTCACGCATATACAACTAGGAGATCTCCAGCAACTGGGGTTGAGCAGCCTAGGTGGCATAAATCCTATCGAATCCAATGTTTGACCTATCTTAACCAGGTCAGGTATTCGACATCGTTAGGAACTTCGAAGAGAACTAGGTATAAACAACAATAGGCGATTGCTCAGGTGTGTCACTCAGACTTGGAGGTCTAGTACTAATGTCAGGGCAGAAGGGTTTGGGTATGGGCTTACCACGACCTTGGCTTGCATAACCAATCCACATATGGAGTTAGCCCACCCACTGCCCTCCAGGTACCACGCCCCCTCCAGTACCTAGTCAAAGACTACATCTCTAACTAGATACCTTACTCAATGTGGTCATTCAACCATGACATGGATCGACTACTTCCATATCGCTCACACAGTACTAAGAGATTCAACTTTAAAACAATTTTTAACTTATCACCTTAGTACTATATATCTCAACATAAGACATATATCTTCACCATATGTCCCCATCTTTGCAACTTTACAACAATAGACATCTTTATACAACTTTACAACAATAGACTATTTCAACTTATGCATCTCGACTTATTCGTATTTCAACAATAACAACATGTAATCAACTTAATTTCATCAATTACACAACATATAAACAACTTAAGTCAACAACTACTCAACTCATCTTCATCAGACAACTTAGCAACTTAACCAAATCATTAAGCCTACTCACGCCCGACATAATCAACTCGTGCCCTACCTAACATCCAACCTGAGAGCTCTAAGCTCTTCCACGCCTGACGCAATCAACTTGCGCCCGACGTCCTTGAAACAAAGACTCACAAGAGTCTCCACGCCTGATGCCCTCACTCTGCGCTCAGCGTTGTCTACACAGAGACCTACAAAGGTCTCCATGCCCAACGCACTCACCCTACGCCCAACACTATATCAGCAAAACATCATCCAAGCCACTATTTGATATGGCGCTCGACGTGGTTTTCCTCACGCCCAGCGTGAACTCATGCAGAGACTCCCGTTTATAATCACGTCTGACGCGACTAATCTTGCACTCGACGTGATCAAGAAATGGGTGCCTCTGATGAATACACGCCCGACGCCAAGAACATGCGTCTGGCGCAAATTCATACAGTAGCCTTCAAAACTTCAAAATTTTCCATCAAAACCTGAAAATCAGAAAATCTAGCCACATGCAATCTATGAAATATAAGACAAAAACTCCATACAATCAGAAATCATTATCCGATTCAACATGCACCCACCCGATGCATCAAAATCATCAAAACCCCAATTTTCCCAAAAACCCCGAAAATGAGAAATCTTTCAATTCAACCCTTGATTCTCAAATTCATGCACCAATTGAGTCCCTAATCTCACATGCAACTAAACAACCTACATTTTAGCTTCCATTACCTAAAGATTGGCTCCGAACAACCAAGAATTTGAGAAGAAGAAGAATTTCTCCCGAAGCTCTACTTACAGAATTCAATCCTCCGAAAATAAGCTTCCTAGCCTGAATTCCAGGAAAAGACAGAAGAAGTTAGTGATCTAAAGAAGAAGAATAAATCACAGAAATATGGGAGAGAAAGGAGCTCACGGACACAAAGTCCTTCTTTCTAAAACCCCTCTCTAAGGTTTCTTTCAGAATGAGCTAATGAGACTCCCTTCTAGGAGAAAACCTTATATACTCTCATCTCTAACATTCACTAAACTCTAAACCAACATACTATATGTTACATAAATTATTTATCATAAATCTAAAATATAATTATAAGTTCAAAATTATTTATTTATTATAAATTTAATTATAACACAAAATATAATAAAAAATTTATTATAAATTTTAATTATATAAAATAAATAATTATCTTATAACTAAAATACTAGTTTATTAAAAATTAAAAATTCAGTAGATCGTTGATCTTATTGTGTCTTCTTTTATAGTTAGATCTTTCAATATTTATAATATTTAATAAATTTTAACTAAAAATAAAAATATATTAAGTATAGTTTTAAACACAAACAATGTTTCGTGATTTCTCTTTCCTAAATCCACTCCAAAATATGATAATTTTTTTTAATAAAATTGACTATCATTATTTATAATTCTAAATATTTTTTTTACATATTTAGTTGTTCAAGGTATGATAAGATTTTGCGGTGATCTCGTTGATGTACGGTTGATAATAGATATGATGGTCGCGAAGCCTTTACACGTGTTTCGTGGGACATGTCGTGTAGCCGCCTCGCACGTGCTAGTGCCACTTACTTCGTTCCTTCTTATTCATATTCATGATTTCGTTTTCTATTTTTCACTTTTTCTTTCTTAAATTCTCCTTTTCTTCTTCTCTGCTTGACTCTCTTTCTCCAACTAGTCAATTCCTCTTTCTCTTTCCGCAAGGAAACTTCGTTTGGCCCAATTTTCTTGAATAATGTCTGGGAAAAGGAAAAGGAAGAGGAAGTTGAAATCGTAAGCTCCTCTTCTATCTAATCCAAATGTCAATTTTGCATGCTTATCTCTGTTTCAAATTTTTTGTTTAATTAATTAATTGTAGTAAATACGTTAAAAAAATGATCTTCAACGCTGGATCAGTTTGTGCTTGTACAGAATGGCAGTTTTTGTTTGGTTTCTGTTTTGATTTTAGTCTGAATACTCAATTTCAAACAAAAATTGATTTTTGATTAGTTTAATTTAGTTAGTTTGTGATTGTGAATGCATTAGGTATTGCGGTTCAGATCAGAGTCTGATTTTCATAACTTTGTTGAGAATTGGGTTTCTCTAGTGTGAATTATTGTGATTTGCTGAAAATTGGGTTACTCCAGTGTGAATTGGATTTGTACACAGGCTCTAGTGAGTCAGTTGTAGTGTGAATTGGAGCATTGTACTATAGTTCAGTTTAATTTTTCTCAGGCATATATTTTTTTAATTCTTTACTCTTTTATTTATTTAATTAATTAATCAATTAATTCCTAACCTTACTGGTTGGTATGCTCCAGTAAGCCTATGTAATCAGATTTTAGAATATTATTATTTTTATGTTATGTACACTGTTCATGACAGAAACATCCAACTTAATATTTTCAAACCTTGAGTGGCAGAAAAGTGAGATTGGTGTACGTATTTATTGGTATAAAGGACTGTTCAAGGAACCAAGTTCTAGTTTCTTTGACCTTTGCTGTAGGATATTAAGCACATTCAAGTGAATTTGTTCACTTCTCTGTTACATGTATCTTTAACTTTTTAGGTTGAGTGATACCAATACAGACAGCGGAAGAGCAGCAACGGAGGCGGAAAATGAAAATTTGGAGTTGCAAACATGGTCCGATCTTCCTACTGAACTCTTAGAATCAATATTGTCCCGTTTAAGTCTAGATGACAATGTTCGTGCTTCAGTTGTTTGCAAGAGTTGGCATTCTGTTGCCACTGCTGTATGTGTGGTAATCCCGTCACCGTGGCTAATGTATTTTCCAAAATTTGATGACTGGTATGAATTTTATGACCCTGTCAAGCGTAAAACTTATTCCATTGAGTTGTCAGAGTTGAGTGGAGCTAGGGTTTGTTATACAAAAGATGGTTGGTTACTGCTATACCGGCCCAGAACACACAGCGTGTTCTTCTTCAATCCCTTTACTCAGGAGATTATCAAACTGCCAAGATTTGAGATGTCATACCAGATAGTTGCCTTCTCTTGTGCTCCAACATCATCTGACTGCATTCTGTTTACTGTTAAGCATGTTAGTCCTACTGTTGTGGCCATCAGTACATGCTACCCTGGGGCAACAAAATGGACCACTATTAGTTACCAAAACCGCTTGCCCTTTGTCAGTAGCATATGGAATAAGCTTGTGTTCTGTAATGGACTCTTTTATTGCCTGAGTCTCACAGGTTGGCTAGGGGTGTTTGACTTATCTGAACGCACGTGGAATGTTCTTTCAGTACCTCCACCCAAGTGCCCAGATAACTTTTTTGCCAAAAATTGGTGGAAGGGAAAATTCATGATAGAACATGAGGGAGATATAATAGTAATTTATACATGTTCAAGTGAAAATCCCATTATTTTTAAGCTAGATAAGATGTTAATGGAATGGGAAGAGATGACAACACTGGATGGAGTAACTCTTTTTGCTAGTTTCTTGTCTTCTCATTCAAGGACTGATCTCCCTGGAATAATGAGAAACAGTGTCTACTTCTCTAAAGTTCGTTTTTATGGAAAGCGTTGCATATCATTCTCTCTTGATGACTATAGATACTATCCTCGTAAGCAGTGTCATGACTGGGGAGAACAAGACCCTTTTGAAAACATATGGGTTGAACCACCGAAGGACTTTGCTGGGTTCACGTGAAGAACTTTAGTGAAACAAGTAAGCATTCCCAAATCCCTATTCTATAGAACTATTTGTTATGACTTATAATGTCTTATAACTGGATATATGCTTTCATAGCAAATTAGCAATGCATGATAATTGTTGCCATTCTTTATTAAGTAATTATGCATGGTTGAAATTTTCATCAATGTTATTGATGTTTATATTATTTAATTATCAATGCTTGCTCCATGCAAATTACAAAGTAATCCAGGTTGCTCTCATTCAGTCATTCTTTTCAAGGTTAAGTTACATGATTTAATTTTGATCCACTATCAACATACAAGTATTTTCACACTCATCTAATTATTTATTGATCTGTCACACTTGATTGAATGATGGATTAGAGGTTAAATTATGAAACATTATTGTCTGTGTGTACCGAATAAGTGAGATAACTAGTTTATTGTGACTTGTGAGGATGAGAGGAGTGAATTCACAGCTGGATCTTATGTGAATGATCACGATTGGAACACTAGAGTCATATGTGTGTCCATTGGAATTTATGAGTTATTTTTTAAAAATCTTGTACAAGTTCATTCATTTGCATTAAGAAACCAGCTTTCAAAAAAATTGTCTAAAATTCCATATAATGTATAAAATTTGACAAAATCCCTACAAGTAGTAAGGATAGCCAACATTAATGAGTAACTTGTTCTATAGGGAGAGAGAAAAAGGAGAACAAAAAGAATAACTATCAGGGGAGAAGTTGTGTAGTGAAGATTGTAAAGTTGTAAGATGAAGCAAGAGTCCATTGAGAAGAGCCTAAATAAAATAACGACTGCTCTTCTTAAACAAAATCTACCTACATACATTAAGCAATAAATATCTTATTTTGGGTTTCTTTCTATTTATTTGAGGATGGGTGAGGGGTTACAAAGTAGTGTCTGTTTGATTTTGTGTCAAACTCCAGAAACATGCATAAAAAATGAGAAGCTATATAACGTGTGAAACTGACATGTGTAACCTCTGAACTCTGAAGTAACAATGAACCAAACACCCTCATAAGAGACAATTCATGAATTTGAAGCCCAACAATAAAAGAAAGCATAATGAAAATGCAAATCAGGCGGCGCTGTAAGGGCATTGTGAATAAGAAATTTGAAAATGTCAGGGGAAGATCAAAGACTAAAAGACATATTTAAAGGTCACACATTCCACCTAGTCAGCTTGACAACCTAGCCTTCTTCCTTACCTTATCTACGTGAAAGAGCCAACTTATGATTTTGAATTTGATTGGCTTAAATTACTGTTAGTAAGTGCACCATTTTAACTTTGTATGGCCCTCCTCATTTTTATTTAGACAGCTCTCGTGTACAAAAATTAAAACATACTTCGGCAATCCTGAAAAGTTATTTGATAATTTTGATGGATAATGGTTATTTACCTGTTTGTCAAACATAGTTGTGTTCTCTGTGCCAAGCTTGTGACTAGGTTCCCTGCTTTTACAATTGAACTTGTTTGCTCGGTCTGTTTCTGAGCATATAATAGGCAGTGACATTTTCATCCAGCTGTCTTGCATGGCATTCATCATCCAGAGCATGACCAATTCAAGTTTCCGTTAATCAATCTTTTGGGCTATTGCAGTTCGTTAGTGAAGCTCATATGGAAGCATATCGAAGGCAACGTCTTTACCATATAATATGTGAGGCTACTAAGTGAAGAATCACATCTATAATCTGTTGGGGGATAAGCTTAGATATATCCCCTTTGATTCCCTTGTCTCAGCTGATGTAGAATTTTAAAGATTTTTCCCAACACAATAGCGATCTAGTGCTTATGCAGAATAATTGGAGTTCATTCTAGAATTACCTAGAGATTTGTTGACATTTATTATCATGATTGTTATTCGTCTTTAACTTTCTGTTTGGTTGAACCGTCAACTAATTCAATTTTTTTTTATAAAAAAGATAAGAGGTCAAAATTAATTCGAAAATTTAAAACTATAATTACTTAAAAGTATATTTTTAACTACAGAATAAAAATATATATAACACATTATATAAACATATCTTTTTCTAACATTTTATTTTTTTTATCAATTAGTTCAATATCTAATATTATCAAACATTTATAATTCAGTAAGAGACTTAATAACCTTAAACCCCACACGTGAAATGCTAATTGTATCATGCACAATTAGTATATGTTTTGAGTCCTGTATTCCTGTCAAGTCTCTTGCATCTTGTCGCAACTTATAATGACGCAAAAATATATATTTTTGTGAAACTGTCATCAATATTTTGTTTTAAGGGAAAGGTATTAAAAATTTCTTTAAAAAAATAATTTTTAAAATTAAAATTTAAGTTTGGAAGTTAATTACGTATAGAGAAGGTATTAACATCCTATAACATGTAAAAAAAAAAGTATCTTTAATTAATTGTGTAAAATTACGTAATTTTATAAATATTTAATTTACCCCAGAAATATATTTTGTTATTTCTTTTTTAATTTTTATAGATGAAAAAAACTTTGTATTTTATTTAAAAAACTTACATAATGATTTAAACTAACAAATAAATAATCATTAAACTCTCGTAATAACATTATAGATAGAATTAACATTATTAATTTTTGATTATTTTATCAAAAGACAACGAATTTTATTATTATTATGATTTTATTTTATTTAAAAAAATATTTTAGTACAAGAATTTAAGTTAATAAATGACTAGCATTAAACCCTCTCATTTAAATAACATTAAAGATAAAATTAGTATTTAATTAATTTTATTAATAAATGTTTTTATTTTTATAAAATAATATGTTTATTTTATCATATGTATAAAAGCTTACTATGAAAAATAACTGTTTTATAAACTTTATGATTTACATAATATTAAAGGTAGGAGTGCTACTTAATTGATATCATTAAAATAACGTATATGTGAAGGATAATTATTTTTATATTTTTATCTAAAAAATATATTTTACATAAAGATTCAAGTTAAGAAATGATTAATCAATAAATCTCCACAATAACATTAAAGATAAAAGTACTACTCAATTAAAATTATTTTAAAGGAAAAAAAATTGTGCATAAGAGTTTAAGCTAACAAATGACTAGTTATTAAAACTTCTCAATTAAATAACATTAAAGATATAATTGTTATTCAATTAATGTTATTAATAAGTGTTTTTATTTTTATAAAATAATAATTTTTATTTTACCTTATGTATAAAATTTTATGATAGCAAATAATTATTCTATAAACTTTTATGATTTACATGATATTAATATAAAAGTGCTATTCAATTAATATCATTAACCACTAAAAATAACTCATATGTGAAAGAGAAATTTTATTTTGATAAATATATTTTTATTTAAAGAAACAAAATTTTGCATAAGGATTAAAATTAGTAGATGACTAGTTATTACTCTTATAATTAAATAATGTCATAGATAAAAGTATTATCCAATCGACTTTATTAATTGTTACATATTAAAGTAAATTTAAATAATATTTTTCCGAGAAAATAATTTACTCTAAACATAAAAATTCATGATAGCAAATGACTGTTCTATAAATTCTTATGATTCAAGTAATATTAATGGTATCATTTCCGTTCAATTAATACTGAAAATCTTTATATGAATTAAAATATTATTTATTTATATGAATGGATATCATTGTGAAAAAAAACGGATTGATAATTCATATAGCATTACAAAAAGGTTAAAAGAAAATAAGGATAACAAAAGAAAATTGTGCATATCAAATAATACCACTTATATGTTATTCATTTATTATATAACAATAGTTTAATAAATGTAATATGGTTTCGTACCGATTAGAAATTAAATAATATATGCGTAGAACTTTCTTACTAGTTTGTGCGAGAATGCAAACACTTCTTCAATTTTGGGTTGCTGAATCCTATTCCCAATAATTGAAAAATGCACATTGATATGTTTTTGATTTTTATATTTACGGCATATGAAAAGACACAAGCACGAAAAAGAATGATAAGCATTTCACATATATTTATCATTGCAATATACATGACAAAATTTAAGAGCGAGGAGTATACTAAACAAAATCTGAATATAAAATATGCAATTGTAGATTCTCTGTGATGGTTGAAACTAAAAGACTAATTTTCCTTTTGCAATAAAGACCTAGAAGAGCGTGGAGTGTAATGTAAATTACTGTGAGAAAACTTCTTACTAGAAAGCCAACGTCAAAACCAAAATTGTGCCCTTCCTTCTTTCTTTTTTCCCCCTCCTGCTAGATATATCTAGATCTTTTATAAGCTCTATTGGTTTGTAACCAATATGCCACTATCTAATCCTCTCCTTATTCTTAGGTAACCAATCTTATCTGATAATCCCTTCTTTTTTTTTCAACTACCACATGACTGCTTTATCCCTTCCTTTATGCCATATCACCCTTATTTTTTATAACCTCTTGTTCCACTTATTCAGCTTGTAACCACCTTCAATTTTATCCACTTTTATTTTTAGCTTTTTTTTATAAAAAAAATACCGGATAAATTTAATTATTCACGGTTTCCCTTCTTTATTTATTTCTTTCTAAATATCAATGCTTCTAGATCACTATGATAAGAAATAAATAAAGATGTGAATGAATTTTATCCGATAAACATATCTTCAAATGCCAGTGCAATCAAGTCCTAAGCTTTAATGTTGGTGCCAAAATGATCAAATAAATGCTTGTATTGGAACAATTAAATGTTGGTACTAGAAAGATTCAATGCGTTTGCTTGAACAATAGGATATTCTTATTCAATAAAGTAAAAATGTATTTAAAAAGGAAGTCATTGTATGACTGGATATATATATATATATATATATATATATATATATGTGTGCTATATATAGGGAGCATATCAAGTGAGAGGGAATTTATTATGAGAGATGAGAGGGTTAAAATATAATCCTTAGATTAATTTCCTCTCACTTGATTAAACCCCAAATTTTCTCTCATTTGATTAATCTAAGGGTTATATTTTAACCCTCTCATAATGAATTCCCTCTCACTTGATATGCTCCCTATATATATATATATATACACACACACACAACGGTAGCAATAGGAGGTAGCTATTATGTGAGTGACATTTTCTAGATGAACAATGTTAGTACTACATTTCAATAACCTTGATTGCTCGCCAATAAACTTGTGAGGATAATTCAATACAATTCTTTTGCCCCATTTTATGATTTTGCCATGGCTTGCCCCAATTGATACCTCAAAAATTGGCATGATACTTCCCTCTCATTTTGATGGTTTCTTTTTATTTTTTTTGGACCTTAATTTTTGCCTAAATTGCTCTTTTGAGTTTTCAACCTAGCAGGTCGCTCTAATTTTGCCTAAATCGCCATTTCAGGTTTTCAATCTAGCAAGCCTTTTTTATCCTAATTTTTACCTAGATTGCTCTTTTGAGTTTTCGACCTAACAGGTCGCTCTAACTTTTGCCTAGATTGTCGTTTCAGGTTTTCAATCTAGCGAGCCTCCCTTTTTTTAGGCATAATATTTCTTTACTACATTAGAATTTACAAGATGTAGTAGATCTTTGCCATCTATGTTTATGAGGATCAAGGCTCCCCCAGAGAAAACCTTTTTAACTATAGAAGGTCCTTCATAATTTGATGCCCATTTACCAAGACGATCTTTCTAAACTTGCAGAATTTTCTTAAGCACTAAGTCTCCTTCTCGAAATTCCCTAGGGTGAACTTTCTTTTCAAATGCCTTCATCAATCTTTTTTGGTATAATTGGCCATGGCAAATTGCATTTAACCTTTTCTCCTCAATGAGGTTTAACTGGTCCAACGGGCTTGGACCCATTCTACTTCTTCCAATTCAGCTTCCATTAGTACTCTTAAAGATGGGACTTCAACCTCGATTGGAAGGACTACTTCCATTCCATAAACTAAAGAAAACGGGGTTGCCCTAGTTGAGGTGTGAACTGAGGTACGATATCCATGTAAGGCAAATGTGGAAGCATCTCATGCCAATCTTTGTATGTCACCATAATTTTCTAAATAATATTCTTAATGTTCTTGTTTGCTGGTTCAACTGCCCCATTCATTTTTGGGTGATATGGAGAAGAGTTATGGTGTTGAATTTTGAAGTCAACACATAATTCTGTAATCATCTTGTTGTCAAGTTGGTTCCATTATTAGTAATGATTTTGCTTGGCACACCATAAAGACAAATTAATTCTCTTTTGATGAACTTTACAATGCATTTTGAGTCACAAGAGCATATGAAACAGCTTCAACCCACTTGGTGAAATAGTCAATTTCCACTAGAATGAAGTGATGTCCATTTGAGGCTTTCGACTCAACAGGACCATTAACATCCATTCCCCACTTCAAAAATGGCCAAGGTGATGACAAAACATTAAGGGAATTTAGTGGAACATTGATGTTATCAACATATGTCTGACATTTATGATATTTCTTCACATATTTAAAGCAATCACTCTCCATGGTCAACCAATAATAATCAGCCTTTAAGATTTTTCTTGCCATGGCATGCCCATTCGTATGAGTGCCGAAAGAGCCTTCATGAACTTTTTTAATAATCTTCTGTGCTTTGACAACATATACACATCTAAGCAAAACTATATCATGATTTCTCTTATACAATACATCCCCATTTAGAAAGAAACTCATTGACAGTCTTCTTAAAGTTCTCTTATCATTCTCTAAAGCATTTGATGAATATTCTCTACTTTTGATATACTTCTTAATATCATAGTACCATGGATTTCCATCTGATTCTTCCTCCACTGACTGGCAATACGTAGGCTGGTCACGACATTGAATTTTTATAAGTGGTATGTCTTTATCATCACTTAGTGTGAACATAGACAACAAAGTGGCCAA